AATAGTGGATAATAGACTATCCTGGTATCCTCACGTGGAGCAAGTTACTGCCAGAATTAGGAAGCTCAGTTATTTAAAACCCTAAGACATGTCGCACCAATGGTAAAAGTTAATGACAAAAGCCCCTCTAGTAATCTACTTACTCAAATTTACCTTGCGCTGGTGCAACCTGTGCTCGTATATTGTATTCCGGCTTGGGGGGGGGGGGGGGGGGGGGGGGGGGGGGGGGGGGGGGGGGGTTTGCCAAGACTAAATTCATGAATCCAGAACGAGCACAACGTGCCATTTCTAAAGATTATGAATTAAAATAAAACATAGATTTCCTACTGTAAGTCTGTATCAAATTAGTGATGTACTTTCTGTCAGAAAGTTGTATATAATTCAAACGATGTTAAAAAAGCATAAGTCATTGCCTTTCAAAGTGGGAAAAAATTGTAAGAGAAGAAAGTACAATATGGCGGATATACCGTCAACAAAGACCAAATTTGGATCTATACAATATATTAAACGATCAGCTCAATTATATAATAGAATAAATAAAGAGATAAACATACACACAAATAAATATTATGATTGCAAAAGAACACTAGTAAAGTGGATAAAACCACTCACATACGAGGACACCTCTGTGTCCTCGTATGTAAGTGGTTTTTTTTGGTACAACACACAGAATGAGACACACACACAAACACACACACACACACACACACACACACATGCATACACACGCACACAATCATTTCTAAGTATAAATAATTTGTATCACTTTGTATTTCAAATAATGTTTCCAATTAGTTTACCTTAATATCTCAAATTATTGTGTTAAAAATCATGCTATGTAATATGTGGAGGAGCGGGATTTTCTACTACAAGCATTATTTGCTTAAAAGAAAATTCTGAACACAACTATCTATGTACTAAGTATTTGACACAATAAACTTAATTATTATTATAATCTTTGATTGATAATAATATCTCAGTTTAATAGTCAACTCAGCTTAGTTAATGAGTTTCATTTTAGTTTTTGACTTCCTTTCGTTTTGCTACAAAAAAACTGTTTTATTATTGAAAGACTTGTTTGCTATTAGAAGATTAGACTGTGTATTTATTTCATTTTTATTTGATTAGGTACGTCAAAGTTGCAAATGCTAATACATAAAAGTTTATTGAAAGAAATCGTAATAATAAATGTTCATTTCATAATACCTATAATTCTTACTATTTTTTGCTTATTTTTTTCAAATATTGTGATTATTTGCAAGAATAAACACACAAATCTTGGCGAGATCTCGCGGTATTGTTATTGATAAACTCGCTAGATCTCGCCTGAGCCCCAATCTCGCGAGATTACATGCCCTAGTGCAGAGGTTGGTTATTGCATTTCAACTCGCCAATGCCATGGCCTCTGGCGTTTCTTTCTCCATATCCATATTTTCCCACTATTATGTGTTCATCTTTTAGTGGTTGTCCTATTTTTGCATTAAAATCTCCCATTATTATAAGATTTTTTGTTGATATTTGTATTGCTGTGTCCAAACTCTGATAAAATTCTACTATCTCTTCTTCGCTAGACGACGCGGTGGGGGCATATACTTGTATTATACTTATATTATGGTCTTGAATGTTTACATCTAGCAGGGCGACTCTTTCTGTGAAGCTTATAAATCTTTGAATATATTTTTTTATAGATTTCTTTATTAAAAAACCAACGCCATAAAGTCCCGGTGTCTGGCCTACATAACATAATATCGTGTTCTCATATTCTTCTATATGACTGCCCAGTCTTCTGACTTCTGACATACCGATGACGTCTTATTTTATTCCATCTAGAGCTTCTTCGAGTTCTAATAGCCTTTCGTATGAAGAAAGTGTTTTAACGTTATATGTTGATATATATAACTTATTTGCTGAGAGACTTCTTGATTTTGAGTTGATATTTAATTGTTTCTTAGGAGGGTGATGGTCATCATTCTCTTCTACGGTGACCAGCCGGCTTGGGAGATGGTTTTCTTTGTTGTGTATGTTATTTGTTCTGTTTTCGAGAGGGAGTGCCGATTGCTATTGGTTAAAACTTTTTTTTTACAAAACTTGGTTAACTTGTTTTTTGTTCACAAGATAGTTGAGGATCCCTGGCTTAACAGTGTCTTCAGAAGTACTAGCCATGTTTTGAGAGGTGCTTGATGTAGGTTTATTTTTCTTTTTTGGTTGAGTTCTAAGCAATGGTTTTTTGAGGTGATGATGGAAGCGATCTTTTACTGTTGCCTGGTTTATTGTTTATTTGTTTTTTTTCCAATTACAACTAATTTGTCATACTTTATTATTGCCCTGTTACCCTTTTCTCTTTCAATTTTTACTTGTTCTTGTAGTAATCTCCATTTTTTTTTAAATATGTTGTGGATAATCTTCTTTAATGTAGTAGTTTGTTTCCTTTAATAAATTCTTTTGTTTAAAAATTTCGATTTTTTTACCAACGGTGGTCAGTGTCACCACTATGGGCCTTGGTTTTTCTATTTTTTTTCCTATTTTTTTCGATTTCTTGAATTTCGTTACAATCAAGTTTTATTTTAAGAGATCTTGATATAAAACTAATAATTTGCATTTCTATATCAGAGTAAGATTAAGGTGAATACGTTCTTTAATGCCAAAAAATACAATGTTTCGGTTTCTTGCCTGTTTTTCCAATATATTCAGTCTATGTTCTTGTTTCTCGAATTGTTCTTTAAGATTTGTGTATTTTTGTTCCAGGTGATTTAGTTTATCGTCTAAAATCAAGTTCATGTTTTCTGTCACTGTTTTTGCAACCTCTATGCCGTTTTCCTTTATGGCGATTTTTTGCTCTTCGAGATCCTTTTGAATTTGGCGTAGGGTCGCCATTATTTCTTCCATTATTATATTTCTACAGAATTTCTTTTATTTTGTTTCTATTTTGAAAGTAGACGTTGGTTTCAAAATAATTAAAAAAAAACAAAAAAAAAAGAAATCTTTGTTTTCATGTAAGTAATGCCCTCTAGTGAACGCACTATGCAACTTGCATGGACAGTGTTTGATTTCTATCTGACTTTGTACCTATACTTTATCTCTGGTTTGTAGTGTATTATTTCCACCATTAAAAATAGTGCCCTACCAAGAAATTTTGCGTTTGTGTTATTGATACTAGTGCTGATTTGCTATAAAATGATAATCAACTATCTTTTATTGGACACTAGGTAGCGCTCTCGACAATATTTATTGATTACTTTCCTTTTGGTTACTTTTATTTATGTCTTTTATAGATTATCTTTTTCAAAATTATCTTTCTGGGATCACTATTTACTGTTTCTTATGAAAAAAGGAATTATATGGATGGTTAAATGTTAAATATCACTGGCAGTTGCCGGATCACAAATACCTTCACTTTTTGGAAATATAGCACTGTTTTTACAAGTCTTCTGTTACTTCCATTTTTTCTAGTCACTGGGTTCCTATTTTCAGCACTATTATCTCACTAGTTAAATTATTGTCTAAGATGTTATTTTTATTCACTTTTTTACACCTTTATACACTTTATTTATTTTTGAATACACACTCGATGTTTATCGTGGCACTGCTGCTACCCTCTTTCTCTTTAAATTAAATACAAACAATTAAATACTGAAATATTTAATATATCAAAAGACAAATAATTTAACTTTTAAACACGTATCACCGACTTCAATGTGATTAAATAATGAAAAATTGTACTCGAGCACGCGCAGCAAATGGATATGACGATGAATTGGACACCAAAACTTTTTGAAGTTTATTAAAAATATTTATCATCTATATGTTCAACCGCTTTCAAATCCTTGTTTATGATTGGTTTCACTTTCTTGAGAACCCATGGGACCGACGATAGGTGAAGTTAATGCAAGTCGCAGAGGCAAGGGGTGAGCCCCCCCGCTCTAAGTTATTTTGTACAACTAACTAGTTAGCCATCCACATCGGAACCGGTTACTAAAACCTGCGGAAACTCGCAGAACTTCGTGTTAAAATTTTATAATATAGAAGTAATATATTAAAATTAAAATATTTACATACAAGCGTCAACAAATTCCTCCGCATCGTCGGGGACTGGTAGAGTTAGAAGTAGATTTTAGTGGAAGAATTCTTATAAGAAAACTATCTTACCCCTTACGTTACGCAAAGTACTCCAGAATTCTTAAGGACTGTCTAACTTAGGAAGTGAACATAAGTTTTTATCTATATATACTCGTACAAAATTACTTGCCCTGGCTGCCTAATTTGCCTGATTATCCTGATTATCTGTTGTAAGCACCCATTAAGAAAGGATATTTGCAAATTAACTCCTAAGGGGTAACATAACGAATGAACGGACACGAAAAAAGAAATGGTAGATAATAAAGTTACTTATAAGTTCATCTTTAGACTTTATGACCGATGTATCATCAAATAATAATAATAGTAATATACAAAAAGCAATAGCAGAAAAAATACACAAATATGCAGACCTTGAACATGAAGTTTTAAGAATCGGGCAACAACAAAAAGTATACATTGTCCTATAGTATTGTCCACGACTGGTATTTTTCCGAAACATATACATCATAGTTTAAAACTCATTGATCTGAAAGGCAATACCTACATGCTTCTTCAAAAAGCTGCTATATTAAACACTTGCAGAATCGTAACAAAATTTCTGCAAAAAGACGAACAAATACACAATGTAATAGACGAATAGACCTAATAAACTTCTCCCAAGAACCCGTGGCATTTACTCGACTTAGTCCGTAAATGTCACTAAAATACTACCAGTGAAAGCTGACAAAGAACCAATTTAACATAACTAATAATTATTATTATTTATTTTAGATGATGATGACATGATGCGGGCTTTCCAATACACGCCAAATGAGCCGCCGAACCGGCCTGATTGAGGAAAAATGTGTCTTGATTTTTGGCACACCGTTATGTGTAGCCGTGAGAGGCTCACTGGCTCAGTTGTGTTGTGAACTTGGATAACGATGGGTGTACCGCGCCACTTCCCAAACTCTACTGAGAAAAGGTACGACACATACTGTAATTCCTCTGAAATTGAGTGACTAGTATCAACATTATTGGTCGTGTAACACATGCAGTGCGTTCTTTTGTGTATCTAAGTTAAAATAACTCTTTTTAAAATGAAAGCTATGTGTATTTAAAATAAAAGTGGAAATACGTTGCTGGCTTTGTCAGTAGTGCATTTGAGTAGTAAACACAGAATGCGAATTGGAATGTGGATAAGTGGATTAAACGATAGGCGTACATGAGGCAATTATATTGTGTATTGATAGCATTATGTTCGTTTGGGCAAATGGCCTACCAGTACTTTCAAAACTTTCCTTTTTTATAAGTGAATGTTGAAAAAGTTCGTTATGAAATAGGTTTGTCTAATACCATGGTCTGATTTAAAAAAAAAAACATATGTACTTAAAATAAATAATTAGAAATAGTTTTGTGTGAATAATATCGGAGTCTCGGACATAGAGTGAGGTAGGAAGACCGTGGCAGTAAACCTCAATACATTTATATTATAACTAGCTGAGCCCCGTGGTGTTACCCGCGTTTGTTGTTGTAACCGCGGGCAACGCCGCGCGTCGAAGCTAGTCTTAAAAAATCGGTTGTCTGTAAAGTCGGTTTACTGACGATATTTTAACGTGACAACTGATCCGCGCTCTCACTTGTACTTCAAGCCTTAAATGGAACGCCTCAGAGCAGGTAACGCCGCATGAGTCATGTTTTTTCGTGCGTGCAGCCAGCTCCATCGATTTATAAGACGTTGTTACTTCAAAAGTAGCCTAAGTTACTCCTTATATCATCAGCTATCTGCCGATGAAAGTCCCGTCGAAATCGGTCCAGCCGTTCCAGAGATTACCCTAAACAGACAGACAGACAGACAAAAAATGTAAAAAATGTTATTTTGGCATATGTACCGAATATACATACATATGCATTTAGTAAAAAGCGGTTATTTTAATATTACAAACAGACAGTCCAATTCTATTTATTGTATAGATCACTATAAATCACAAATTACACAATTTAATGATTAATTAATTAATATTACACAAGTGGTATTAAACACAGCTTGAAAAGAAATGATCAAAGCTTTTATTTAACAACGCATCAGTCAAACTCACTTTTAACTGATGAGAATATAAATCAAAACCTCCAACCTAACCTAACGCAAAAAGTATTAAATTTAAGTATGTACTTTCTAGTAGCAAAATTACTGTTGTTTTTTAACTACATTCTAACCTAGTTAGACTAAAAAGACAAAACTATCTAACCTAACCAAGTAACTTGAAATTCGACAAAAGTACTGCCGACTGATTTTGTTAACTAAAAGTACTTATAATCTTTTGATAGTTTTGAATGCAACAGATATATAGTAGGGGAGCCCTAGAAGAGATTTTGGGATTTACTCGAGCGTGTCAGATTAAGATAGGAGGAATACCTTACAACTTTTTTTTATGTGTGGAAACCCCCTCGGGCCGTCACCCCACCGGGGTTTGCGGCGGGGTGGTGTGTCGGAATCGGACAGACTAAAACCACAAGGTGTGCCACTCTGCGCCTGTAATAGGAGGGATCCGGAAACTGCCATCGAGCCATCGAACCACCAATGTCGCCAATGTCTGATTTACCATCTTCAGACAAATTTCTCGGTATCATTAGATCCTTGCCGCTAATCAAGGCTTCGGGCGACGATAAAATATCTAACAAAATGATAAAAGAAGCTTGTAAACTTTCGGGTGACACGATTTTCACAGTCTTTAAACGTTGCATTGCTGAAGGAATATTTCCTCGTATATGGCGGTGCGGTAATATTCGTATACTACCAAAAAGTGGCGATAAGCCACCGGATGATCCTAAATCCTACCGACCAATCACATTTTTACCATGGTTAGGAAAGCTTTTAGAACGTCTTGTAGTGCCCCGGCTTCTGACAGGTGGAGTCAAATTTCATAATAGACAATTTGGATTTACGTTGGGTAAATCGACAACCTTCTTTCTAAGGAGAGGCCTATGTCCAGCAGTAGACTATTAAAGGCTGTTGATGTGATGATGTGATGAAATCGACAACTGACGCTGTTATATCGGTTAGAAAGTTGGTCACAGAGTCAAAATTTCAATACGTGCTGGCTCTTAGATATATCTGGCGCCTTCGACAACGCATGGTTTCCCATGCTGTTGCTGAAATTAAAATCACGGGGTGCTTTAAAAATATTTATTTCCTTATCTCTTCGTACTTTTCACAAGGTACAACTAAACTAAGACTTGGTCATCATTCTGTGTCGAAGGCGCTTACAATGGGATGTCCTCAGGGATCGGTGCAAAAAATCGGCTTCGGCGATTTTCTTGCGATACCAATACCATCCGGATGTACTCTGAACGCGTATGCTGATGACGGCTTATTACTGGTGGAACCTGATACTAGGGCGGGGCTTGAGAGATTAGCCAATAGATGTTCGAACCTGATATCTCAATGGGGTGAACGTAATCGCTTATCTTTTGCACCCAACAAAACCTTCCAGCTACTTTTAAAAGGTAACCTCAAATCACCGCCGAGCATTAGATTTGACAATGTCACTGTAAAAAATAAAACCTCAGTGTGTTATTTAGGATTAGTTTTAGAAAGAAACTTTTCATTTATCGAACATTTTAAAATAGTTAATGAAAAGTCTAAAAAGAGTTTCTGTGCATTGACAAGGATATCAATTGCGACATGGGGTCTATCATTTAATACATTAAAGATCATATACGGAGCAACTTATCTAGGTTCTATGTGCTCTGGTGCACCTGTATGGGCCGATAGGGCGACCGTATACGTAGGTATCGCTGTAAAATTACAAGATTGCTTCAACAGCAGTCCGATGTTTATAATGACCTCATAGACGAATGGCAAAAACGCTGGGACGAATCCTCCAAGGGGCGCCATCTTTACCAATTCTTTCCATCTGTTCGCGAACGGTTGTCGAGGACATGACTTGAGGTGGATCACTGTGTCGCTCAATTTCTTACGGGTCATGGTAACTTTAAGAGCAAGCTTTATTCATTTTAATTAGTCGAGTCACCAATGTGTCAATGCTAAACACCTAACTCTCACTGTGAACAGTCTGCTCATCATATCCTTTGGGAATGTAGTCTTTGGTATAATGAACGTAATATAATGCTGAATAGCTTGCAGGTGACATCTGGGGCGGTATACTATGGGGATCTTGTGTCAACTAGGGTGAATTTCCGTGCGTTTAGGCGATGCTGCCATTCATATTATAGAAATCAAATATAGCTCACCTAGGACCCGTAATATTTTGTGGCCGTGGTGCTTCCCTGTTTAAAAGGGTGTATGAATATTTTACTTCATTTTGTTTCCCGCTTTGCTAAGGAGGGAAGTGGATTTACTGTATTTCCAACTCCTCCAATTATCTTCTGATTAATTTCGTTGCGGATTCCAAGACACTTTAATTTCTTCCTGGGACTTCCCGAGTGTCATAACTCGGTGTGTTCGTGGGTCACTGCTGTGGATCCTGGTGTACAGGAGTTACAGTGGTGGGCGTATGGGTGGGATTAGTCCCATAAAAAAAAAATAAAAAAAATAACTGCTGTTATTAAGACATCTGGACCCCTCCGAGCACCTGCCCGCGACGGCGCGGGCACCACCTTCGGGTAAATTCTCTATTTAGGCGTGCCCTATTCTGAGCGGACAAAGCCGCCGCCCACACCGGTGCACCGTACAGTGTCATTGACCGGACAACCCCCGTGTACAGCCGTCTCGTTGCGACGCTGGGTCCACCCAAATTGGATAAAAGTCGCTAAAGGGCAGACGCAGCGCCGACCAGCTTTGGAGCAAACTGTCGCAGTGCTCGTCGAAGAGCTACCTCCCGTCGAGGATCAAGCCCAGATATTTCATCTCGGCCTGAACCGGTACGAGGACCGAGTTGACCAAGATTGAGGCGCCAGGGGGTGGACCACGACGGGGCCCGGGAGACTACCCGGGTGACCAGGCGCGCCGCCTCTTGTAAGTTGGCCCCCCGGGCTGTGACCAAAGTATCATCGGCATAACAAATTACTCCCAGCCCAGGGGGAAAATCCACTCGAAGGGCCCAGTCGTACCTTATGTTCCATAGGCCCCTCCTGTATGTATAACACTTAGGTATTTCAAAATGGCGATTTTTCGAATTTGCAATTTGCATTTTCGATAATTCGCTACCAGCTTCATCAACAGCCTTTAATAGTCCACTGCTGGACATAAGCCTCTCCTTAGAAAGGAGGTTTCGCTACCAGCTTGTGTCACTTTAAAATAGTCCTTTTCCAGACCTTTCAATAGGATCAATTTTGGCGCCCAAATAACATATACCAGAATATCCGATGCAATGTTTTTTTCGATTTCCTCCCCTAACACATTTTTGAAAACCTGTAGAAGCTTTTCCCACCGCTTAAAGTGGAAACATTATATTATTATAGTTTTTATTCATTCTATTACTTAACCTTTCAAATGCAATAGGTCCCCATGACGCTCGAGTAATCCCGATTGAGCATCATGGGCTCCCTACTACTGCTGGCTGGCTACTAATACTTCTACACTTTGTATATAGAACATACAACGTACCAACCGCCACCAACGCAACGCAAAAACCACTTCCTTCACAGACATATAACTAGTGTTACTTTATAATATTTATTTTGTTTTTCTATGTATAATATGTAAGTATATATTTGGAACAAAAAAGAACAAAAGTATTCTATCAGTCAATCTAGTTTTCCTAGTAAAAGTTTTGATAAGTTAGAAACAAGATGGCGTTGTGAGTCAGATGTCCGAAATATTATTTCTTTATTTATATTATATATGTAGCATAGTTAATCATTAATAAAACCTTTCCTGCAGTGACACATTTATTCGTATTATGCATTTTAGCAAAATATTGCGATAACAGTGTCATGACCGTGTGGTGATCGATTAAGAATACAGAGTGTCACCACCCCTATTCATCCCACGGGTGTCGGATAATAGGACTGAAAAGAGAAAGAATGCCAGCCTAAACCTCCTTTCTAAGGAGAGGTCTACGTCCACTAGTAAAGGCTGTTGATAATTATATTGATGATTTCTCATTTATTGTTTTAATTTGTGTTGTTTCAGTACGAGGTTATCCTATAACAACGCATACATACAGAAAATTCCAAAAAAGACGGATGTGACACCCAGGCCATCAATCGCACCGACTTTCAAACCTACTCCTCACTATTCCAACAGAACTAATAAACGCACCGACTCGTACAGCGATCGTGACAGGTCAAATATACATAAAAGGTATGACATTCTTCATCATCTTCAAATCTTACTGCCCTTTACTTTTCCCTCTTATTTTTGGAACGAAGTTCCTTATCGCGCATTGTGAAAGGGGGCTAGACGAAAAGTTGTAACGACACTTTTTATTTTGAATTGTCACTTGTCAGTCATTCAGCGCCATCTATCGAATAGATTGGAAATCATTACTTTTCATCTCAGTAAAATTAAAATTTATGTTCTTAGGTTGAGCAAAAAATATTGTATTCGACATCATTTCTCAAGGAGATTTTACCAATGTATACCTAAATTGTTTTAATTAGAAACCATCTGAAAAATACGTAGGTAATAGCCGCTTTCATAGATGGCGTTGTAATTAAAATCGTGTCGAATCAGTTTTACTCGATCGTCACAACTTCGTTCCTATCGGGTGTCCCACGACACCACACGGCTTTTTTTATCATGGGAGAGTCATGCTTTACTATAATAGGCCGGCTAGTACCAGAGCCTTACAGAAAACCGGGGCACGCCCGTGGGTTCTGATGACCTCTCTAACACCCCCTGGGAAAGCCGATGACTGATAGGGAATGAGTGATTTTTATTAAACAGGCCTGTTGGTCTGGTGACCCTGACTGTTAAGCCGGTGGTTCGATTCCCGCCCAGCACAAATATTGTGTGATAAGCACGGTCATTTGTTCTGTGCCTGGGTGTAATATATCATGTATGTATTTAGAAATATATAAGTATGTTTATCAGCAGTCTGGTTAGATAGTACAGGCTCTGCCTAGTTTGGGATCAGACAGTCGTGTGTGAGATGTGTGAAATATTTTATATTATAAAGTTTATTATATGGCGACCGGGTGGCGCAGTAGTTTTTGTAACGGACTGCTATTCCAAATGTCGCGTGTTCGATTCCCGCTCAAGTCAAACATTCGTTTGCATGAACATTTAATGTTTGATTTGGTCAGGGTGTCTCTATGTATAATACTCGTATGTATGTATTTATATCAGTTGTCTAGTACCCATAGTATAAGCTCTGCTTAGTTTGGGACTAGATGGCGTTGTGTGAATGTGGTAGAATGTTATATTATATTTCTTTTTTCAGATTTCAAGAGTTGTTCAATAACACAAACTTACTCAACAGCGACTTTCCGTGGCGCTCTTCTACGAACCTGACCTACGTTGACCCCTCTCTGTACGAAGTCAGTAATTTGTAACATTTTATCCTCTTTAAAAGCGTAACGCCAAGCCTCCTTGCGTCAAGCTGGATCATTTCAAGATTTCAGATTATGAATTTTTTTCAGGTTGAGAGGTAAGGGACGTAAGGTACCCTCTATGCAGAAATAAAAATATTTTACCGAGGCATCAATACTTCTGATTATATATATTTAAGAGACCAAATCCAAGAGCGATATCTAGGTTATATTTTATAAAGAACTTAAAAGATACACATACATAGTCTTAGGTCTAATTTATTATTTATAATAGAATCGAAAACATTTGTGCAAAAAATTGAATCTAACAACATCTATCTTCTGCTTAAATTACTTCAGCCATTTAGTAGTTACGACGGAATATAGTACACACAAATATGTGACTCGTGAGAGGTCTTAATAATTGCCATAATGAGCTATAATTGCGATTTGGACTGCACGGATGGCGTAGTCGTTTAAGCGGTCGCCACGCCGCCTCCTACTGCACTGAGTGTTGTGGGTTCGATCCCCACATGGGATAAGACTCAGGACAACAATTTGTGTGATTCACAAATTGTTGTCCTGAGTCTGTGTGTTCTTTGTGTCCGTTTCATGTATGTTTAAAAAGTCCCCTGCGACACAGGATATATTCCTAATGCGGGAGTTGTCTTTTTAAAAAGAAAAAAAAATTGTGTTTATGACCTTTAACGACGATTCTTAGTATTTGATTACGTGACTATTTCCTTTTCCAGATTCCATTGCCGACCAAGATAAAAGTGGTGTTTGAAAATACACCCTCATGGAAGTACTATCTGTCAGCACCAGGAATTATTTTCTGGGTCCTAACTATGCTTAAATTATTTCTCTGTTGTAAGTAGATAATAATTTAAGTTTCCTACCCACCTAATTTCCTTGGCTATTTCTAGTGAGGGGGGTATCCACCAGCAATCTCTTCTAAACACCGGGCTATGCGTGACACCTTAATGAAGGACTGTTATCTTGTTGTGGAAAGTAGATTTAAGGAGAACTACGAGTATCTTGTACGTAACCTAAAAAATGTCTAGCAAAAAGAAGCCAACAGTAGTTCTAGAACCGACCAGAACAGCGCTAGTGTAGCATGTTTGCTAAATAAAAATACTCGAATATATTTTTTATATTAATTGAAATCGTCAATGAAATGAATTGATATTTATTTCTGTAAGTAAATCTTTTCAGATATTTTTACAAGTCGGACAAGTCTATGTAATTGTTTTGAAAAATGTGCCATAACAAAGCGTTTTTTTTTTATCTTGTTTTTTTTTTACTGTCATATTCTAACAACTACCGTTTGGCAAAATGATTTGACAACTTTTGACGGACGCTTTTTCATAAACAGAGATGGTTCTCCTTAACTCAACCTCAACCAAATACCTACATATATATTATGTGTCAAAAATAAAAACAATACCGCACCGGCAAGATCAAAGAAAATCCTGTTAAGTGACCTCTAATTAGATTATTCATTTTTTAATATTTCAGATCAACGTATTCAAAACAGGTATGCAGAAGAGCAACCAAGACCGAATGTTTTAGATACAGATCGTAAGTATTTGACGATAAATATGCAATAATCTATACTAATATTATAAAGCTGAAGAGTTTGTTTGTTTGAACGCGCTAATCTCAGGAACTACTGGTCCGATTTAAAAAATTCTTTCAGTGTTAGATAGCCCATTTATTGAGGAAGGCTATAGGCTATATATCATCACGCTAAGACCAATAGACAAAGTTGCGCGGGTCAGCTAGTATACAATATGTCAATTATATAACTTTGTTTCTGAACAATTACAGGAAATCATTTCCTTTTTAAAGGTTTACTAGCAACCGAAATTACTAGTATTCCCGTTAACCCCTCCAGCTAAGCTAAATTGTTTGTGTTAGGAGTGAGTTCACGTCGGTGGTGTACCGGTCAGGATTCAATCTCTCGACCTCTTGGTTGCAAGTCCAATGCCTTAACCACTAGTCTACCGCCGCATTTTATATCAATAGCATTTACTCATTGGAATTCACACTTTTAAACTAAAAGTATAAAATAAAGTATTTTCGTCAACACGTTATCCTATATATTTGAGATCACGTACCTACCTAACATGTATAACAAACCAATCCGTGTGGTGACGGATTAAGAATACGGAGTGTCACCACCCCTATTCATCCTGTGGGTGTCGTAAGAGCCGACTAAGCTACGCAGGACAATAGCACTGCAAAGAGAAGGAAAACTTGACACAAACCCTTTTTTTTTTTTTTAACGTGTGGAAATCCCCTTGAACCGTCACCCCACCGGGGTTTGCGGCGGGGTGGTGTGTCGGACTCGGACCGACTAAAACCACACGGTGTGCCACTCTGCGCCTGTAATAGGAGGGATCCGGGAACAGCTGTTATTAAGACATCCGGACCCCTCCTAGCGCCTGCCCGCTCCTGGTGCGGGCTCCGTCTCAAATTTTTTTTTAACCTCTCTTTAAGCGACGTCCGGCACACGCGGACGCCGCCCCCTCGCGGCTGGCCAAACTAATGCGGGAAACTTGACACAAACCCTGTACCAACCCGTCTGGCCAGCGTGGTATAGTAGGCCAAAACCTCCTTTCTAAGGAGAGCCCTATTTCCAGCAGTGGACTATTAAATGCTGTTGATGTGATGATAACATACCATTGAATTGCCTGACGTTGTGATCAGGTTGCCGTAGTCAGCCTGTGATTGCTTTTATACGTAATTTAAATCGAAAAAAATTGTATTAGGATTCTAAGATACAATGAAAGGTTCTGTAGGCAACAAACGATTCTTATCTTTTTAAAAGTTTACACAAGTTACAAAAATAAGTTTACAATAAACATTTCTTTGCAAATCTTCTGCGCGCTTAAGGAGATTGAGATGATCTATCTTTTCTTGGTCTTTTTTTATAGATTCTTACCTTCACGCTGTGAATTCAATAGTCTATAAACCTTACTATGTTTCATAAAATACTTACATTAATATTTTTTTCTAACAATAATACTTGCCACCAGTTAAGCCAGTCACTACTAAAAACAATTTTACCAGAATATATAAAAAGTACATATATGACATTAATATTTTTTCTTATTTCAGCGGAACAAACGAACGAAATTGGCCCTCCACCTGCCTCTACACCTACGTCACCAATTATAATCGATCCAGAATGTTCTACCCAGAATAATTCCGATTCCGATCTACCACCTTTATACTCTCAGTGTGATGTCAACAATATTGCAGCTGACAATAAAATCGTTGACAATACCGCTGAGGACCTACCTCCTTCGTATTTCACATGCGTCGATGAATTGAACGCTACAAATGACATACCGAAGGTACATAAAGGAGAGGGTAGGGAAGAACAGTCTTGTACTGTAACAGATATACATGTCAACTAATCTTTTATACGGCTCCGAGGCGTGGTGCCCTTACCGCAAACACATCCGCACATTAGATAGATTCCACCTGAAATGCCTACGCGACATTATGAACATCCACTGGTCGGACCGTGTGCGAAACACGGAAGTTCTGCGACGAGCAAATGTTAGCGGAATAGAGGCATATCTAATGCAACGGCAGCTGCGGTGGGGCGGCCATGTCTCGCGGATGTCTCACAACAGAGTGGCTAAGCGCATTTTCTACTTAGAACTAGAAGGTGGTAAACGCAAACAAGGCGGCCAACTCCTACGCTACAAAGATGTGTTAAAGCGCCACATGAAGCGTTGCCACCTTGACCCATCGCAGTGGGAGGCAGTGGCGGCGGATAGGCCACTGTGGAGGCGTACTGTGTGCGCTAAGGTGCTCAAGTTCGAAAGACTACGGAAAGAAGAGCTCGACGCAAAACGGGATGAGCTGAAGGCCCGACCACCGGCGGCCATATATTATAATTATATCGGGGGAACGCTGACTTGCAGTGTATGTGGACGCACGTTCACGGCAAAAATCGGTTATGTCAGACACACACACACAGACACACACACACACACACATACACACACATATGTCAACAACTTACATACCACAGATAGAAATAACCTTGAACAATTGGATAGCAACACAGGGCCTTTAAATAGAACAATTGAAACAGCGATAGACATTGATGAGTTTAATATTAATCTTATTGCAAATACTAATGAAACAGATGAAGAAAATGCTGAAAAAATTCTACCGAGGCCGAGTAGCTACATTTGCTCTCGGTAGATTTTTTTGTCAAAGGGCCTAGTCATACATTATGAATAAGTCGTTAAATTACAAATTTCTTAACTAAATTATACAACATCACAATTTATCATAATCTTAACTTGAACCAAATATATATTTTTTACATATTTATGGTTGGCTCACAACTATTTTGTTTTTATTTTTTATTGGGTTGAACTTCCCGTTCGCGTTCGGTCAAATTCAATTTGATGAAAAAAAATACTACCTCTGAAAGTGAAAATTGTTGTTAAAACTAAACAAAGGTTAAAACTAACTTATATTTTATATATCTTCTTTATCTTTACACTAGCTATCCGCGCCGCCTTCGCACGGGGGCAATGTAGATACTACTAATACTACTAATGTGGTCTCAGTGTGGAGTAATTAATTATACTATTATTTTAATAGGACTTTACTAAAGGGCATCTTTCAATGCAATATTTATAGTATAAAATAAAGTCAATTTTTATGTTGTACGCTTAGATCTTCTAAACCAAGCAACGGATTTTAATACGGTTTTCACCAATAGAGAGAGTGGTTCAACAGGAAGGTTTATATGTATCACATCACATCAACAGCCTTTAATAGTCCACTGCAGGACATAAGCCTCTCCTTAGAAAGGGCTTTTGGGCCTACTATATTATATGTATAATACATGCATATTATAGTAGATAAAACCCGAAACTTGCAAAGCTTTTTTGTATAAAACATGTTTGCACTTACATTGCAAACGCTTGCTAATCCTTACGAGATATATTAAAATAATGTACTACGGAATTGCATATCTTAAAAAGATCTATAGAAACATCTGCGATGGTATATGTATGTCTATCTCCTAAGAATAATCCACAGTAACCATTTTTATCTTTTAAATATTACAAAAAAAAAATTGGTTATTTCAACTGACACTGATATTAGTAGTATCAGTAGTATCTACATTGCACCCGTGCGGAGCCGGGGAGAATCGCTAGTTACATTATATAATACTGTTTTTAAGTTTTAATTATTTATCTGAGGGCTGTGTTATTAGTATGGTTACTTTTTGATTAAACGTCGAGCTTTATTAAGTTGTCACAAAAGTATTTTTAATAAGCCCTCTATGACAAAGGTGGAGTGCTATGAGCTTAACGTGTGTATCTGTTTCGTTTTTAACCGACTTCAAAAAAGGAGGAGGTTCTCAATTTGACTGTATTTTTTTTAAATTATGTTTGTTACCTCATAACTTTCGACTGGGTGAACCGATTTTGATGATTCTTTTTTTATTGGAAAGCTGGTGCTTCCAGTGTGGTCCCATTTCAATTTGATCTAGTTCTGACCATGGAATCTATGAGAAAACCATTGAAGTCGGTTTTTTTTGTTAAAATTTTACTTGTTATAATCTACAGATAAAACAGGGAATAATTTTTTTTAATGAAATGTTGATTGAAATATCATTTTATGGGGATTTTATGGTGATGAGCACCAGTGGATCCAGGCAGCTCAGCCAATAAGATACGGGGGTCTCGGATTACGGCGTGTGCTGGATGTTGGCTTGCCGGCCTTCCTAGCGTCGGCGCATGGGGTTGCGGACCTTGTCGCTGTCACACTTTCTCCAAATGGTGATAGGGCGAGCATACCTTATGTGTCCGAGGCGGTATCGGCATGGTCGGCCGTCAACGCAGGTGAGCCATTTCCAGTGACCCTACACGTCCAGAGAGCATGGGATGACATTGGAGCTAAGGGACTCCTTAAACAAATGTTGGATACTGCTAGGGGTACCGATCTGGCAAGACTGAGGGCCGTTTCGCAGTCAGAGTCAGGGGCATGGTTACATGCACTCCCATCGCCTCACTTGGGCACCTTGCTAGACGGCGACTCTTTGCGTGTGGCAGTGGCTCTCCGCTGAGCTGCAGGGTGTGCGAACCACATAGATGCACCTGCGGTGCCATGGTGGGGGCCGATGGTCTTCACGCACTGAGTTGTCGTCGCTGCGCAGGTAGATTTTCGCGACACCATGCCCTAAATGACATAGTCCGAAGGGCTCTTATATCCGCCAATGTACCCTGCGTGCTGGAGCCATCGGGTCTCAGCAGATCTGACGGGAAGCGGCCGGATGGCTTGACTTTGGTGCCGTGGAAAAACGGAAAGTGCTTGGTATGGGACGCTACATGCGTTAGCACAGTCGCGGCCTCACATCTGAGTCGCACCGTCCAAAGTCCGACGGCGGCGGCGGAGGATGCCGCTAGTAAGAAGCGATCAAAATACGCCGCAATGAAGACGCATTATTATTTTGTGCCTATTGCGGTGGAGACTTTGGGCAGTTGGGGGTCGGAAGCTAAAGAGTTAATTGCGGAGATTGGTCGCCGAGTTAGGGATAAAAGTGGTGACTCCCGCTCCGGCTCGTTTCTGGTGCAAAGGATGTCCGTTGCAATTCAGCGAGGCAATGCTGCCAGTATCATGGGCACCTTTGCACCGGGAGCGACTCGGGGCGGGTTATATGATCTGACTTAAATAAAAAATAATAATGATTGTAATTTTAATGTTTTTGTGACTTTCTAAAATAAACAAGTTTTATGGGGTATTTTAAATATGATTAACGAAAATCTCTTTAGTTGTTCGAAAATTATCAGCTCCCTTTTAATTGTTGAAGATATTTTGGATTCGGGGGTTGTTTAAGTTTTAATATTATACTTGTTTTGCAGCTATGCATAATATTTTTTCAATATTTTTTTGTTATGGCTTGTAGCGTATTATTTTAAATAGTTACAAAGCTTCAACGAACGCCTGTGGCCACATCAAAATATTTGCGTTTGTGACCCAGTCATACTCTTGTTTATTTGTTATCCAAATACTTACTTACTAATTATTTATGATACAGTACCTCTAATATTTATGTAAGTAGATTATAACTTTTAAAAGCCAACTAGTTTAAGGATATCGCAACGCAACCACCGATATTTTTGTATTATTTAGAGGATATGTTACCTATAGACTGAAAATATTAACCGTAGCCTGTCTGTATGTCTATGAGTTGTTATTATTTGTCAGAGGTAACCTAAATATGTTTGATAAGTATAAAAGGAAGCGTCCAATTTCAAAATATGCTGAGGACTCAACATAAAAGTGCTTTGATGGATCGGAGTGTGTGTGCATGGCGCCACGAGTCTATAACCATCTACCTAAACACTTAATGAAAATTACTAGTAACAGTAATTAAAAAATATGGTTAAAAAATTCTGTTGCAAAAGGCGTACTATACAGTGGACGAATTTTTAGAGTTCCGTACCTTAAAAGGTAAAAAGGGACCCTTATAAGATCACTTTCTTGTCCGCCTGCCCGTGTGTCACCACCGATTTTTTAAGGAACGGGTAGACCTAGCAAGTTGAAATTTTTACCAGATACTGAGGTCTATAGTCCCTATTAGGGGTATAAAAATCAAGGTCCAGAGTCAACACGATAAAAAGATATGTTCAAATTTCGATTTTCGCGAACAAAATTTACCTTAATTTTCAACTTTTTTAATTTTTTTGAATTTTCTCTTTTTATTATTTTATTACAGCACAAATAAAGAAATTATGCCAAAAAAGTTTAATATTGAGAAAAATTTTGGTACTTACAAATTTGCGCGAAAATCTACGTAAAATCTGGGTAGGTACGGAACCCTCGGCGCACGAGTTCGACTCGTACCTTACCTTATTATGCTTGTATTCATTTTTAATTAAGCGTGTTCTATTCAGTGCGAACTCTCTAAGTTCGTAGAGGCATATGCTTCAGATCGTAAGGACGCTGTCACCGTAGCAAAATTTTTCGTAGAAATCTTCATTACAGGAACAGGGATGGTATAAAGCGTGAAATCGCGACAGATAAAGGTTCAGAGTTCATAGCGTCAACAATGAGTGAGGTTTGTAAATTACTTGGTGTTAAACAATTATTTTCAACAGCTTACCATCATGAATCTATCGCGGTTGAACATACACATAAAAATTTAAATGCTTATCTTCGGATACAGACTTATAATAGTTCTAGAGAGTGGAGCACTTGGCTTTTAGTTGGTGTTTTAGTTACAATACTACTGTGCACACATCTGCAAAATTTACTCCATACGAATTGGTGTTTGGAAAACTGTGTAAATTACCTACAAATTTGTTTCAACAAGTTGAGCCTCTCTACAATACTGATGATTATCCATTAACCTTGAAATATCGACTTCAAAAATCTC